GGAATTGGAGCTTGCGGTCGTCGAACTCGACTGCTGAAACTTGGAATCGGAGTTTCCAACTGTAACCGCCAAAACAGGTTGCAGAGACTTGGAATCGGAGCTTGTGGTGGTCAAAACTGACTGCTGAAGCTTGGAATCGGTGCTTGCAGCTGTCAAAACAGACTGCTGTAATTTGGAATCGGTGCTTGCAGTCGTCAAAACAGGCAGAGTGGAATGGGGACTTGCAGTCACGGACTCGGTGACTACGAGTGTCTGCGTGAAAAAGCTTTGAATGACGCCATACAAGTAAAGGGTGGAATCATACCTGCCCGCCATTTAAAGACTGATCCGACTTGGTGACAGATGTTGCTGCCCTGGACAGAGACTGTTCGGCATGGGAAATCTGAGATTGCTCAGTGCGGACGGATGTTGCTGCCCCGGAAAGAGATTGCTGGGAGTTGAAAAGAGACTGATCGGCATGGGAAATCTGAGATTGTTCAGTGCGGACGGATGTTGCTGCCCCGGAAAGAGATTGCTGGGAGTTGATCAGAGACTGTTCAGCATGGGAAATTTGAGCTTGTTCCGTGTGGACAGATTCAGATGTCTGCCCATTCGCAACAGACTGTTGGATCTTAGTAATTGTCTGCTCGACTGTGGTGATAGGCTGTGGAGCATGCGAAACTGACTGCAGCTGGACAGTCGTCAAAGACGATTGCTGCAGGTGAGAGCTGGAAACGGGGGTTCCTACAGCAATGGTAGACTCTTGAACCTTGTATTCAGTGACTGGGACCTTTTTCATCAAAAAATGCAAATGAGATGGCGAAGGTTCACTAATGAGCAAGAAATTACCGTTGTCGCGACTTCCTTCAAGTAAAAGTCGGGAGTGTCTAGTACTGGCAAAGTGCCTGCGGGTGCCGTCCACACCGAGACTTTCTTATCATAACCTCCACTAAGGATGTGTGCGCCATACGCGGAGAAGGCTGCGCAAATGACAGAAGAAGTGTGCTGGAAAACGGCAACGGTTTGTTTATCGGAGAGCTGCCAAAGACGAACAGAGTTGTCGCTAGAGGCAGAAACCGCGTGCGTGCCAGCAGAATGAACGGCGATGGAGTTGATTTTGTACGTGTGACCCGTCCATGGTTCACCGACCTGCGTCCAGCTCGATGTCTCCCACTCCCTAATGCTGGGATCATGGTCATCTCCTCCCGAAAGAAGGCGCTTGGCATCAGGAGACCAGGCGAGTGACAGAGTACCGTGACTGTGACCCTTCAACGTCGTTTGGAGTTTGCCGTCGGCGTAAATTTGGATGTCTTGATCTGTTGCCACTGCAAGCGCATGTACGCTGGACCGCGCATACCGAACGCAGCGGACAGTATCACCGCAGGCGTAAGATGCGGCTTGCTCCCAATTTTTGGTGTTCCAAAACTTGACCGTTTGGTCGTTGCGTGCCGCCGACGCGGTAACGACGAATGCACCATCGGGTGAAAAGTCCAGGGAGCGGACTGCACTGCCGTGGGCCTTGGAAACTCTGGTGAGAGACTCTCCGGTTTTTGCCTGCCAGGCGATGAGCTCGCCGTTCTCGTCACCAGTCGCTATCAATTCTCCGTCTCGCGATACCGCCAATCCCATCACATCACCGGTGTGCCCCCCCAACTGCTTCAATACTTTACCTGTCTTCAAGTCCCAGAGACGGACCATTCTGTCCTCAGAAGAGGTCACCATCAGTTCGCTATTGGGAATATCTGCGGCTGCGTAGATCGTCTGTGTGCGATCTTCGAACACCCAAGTGGGGTTGACGATAGGAGTGAGATGTGCCATTTTACTAGAGGTTGTTGGTGTTGATCACTGGTGAGTGGATTTGGTGGAATGATTCTGGATGTAGCTGAAGTGGTGTGTACACTGTACGTTTCATTGTAGGTTTTATACTGCTTCACTAGACGCTAAACACATACATAAAGCTCATATTCTTACAGGTATGTACCTTGCTCGTCACATTTCAGGTACTTAGGAACATAACACCGCATGCTTTTCTGAATAACGCTCTAGACAATCATCCCCCCGGTGACATGTGAACTCCGGCTCCCAGCGATTTTTTTCGGGAGATTCGAGATCTGCGCTGCAGGTGTGTACGCTATGTGCAGATTTCTATGTGGTTAACTGTTCTAACTCTGCTATCATTGGTGGGCCTTTTCGAGGTCGGTCACGGGTAAACTGCGACTCTATCATGACGGCAGGATCGAACGTTTTTCGAGCGGTGTCATCTGGTTTGCTGTCAGAGCCCCAGTAATCATGTTGAGAGAACAATTTGACACGACTCGGAACACTTCTCTATCCGAGTTCCCTGGCTAATTACAACAAGACTGGCGTCGAACAAGTACGAGTACCTCGCCTTGACATAAAATTTACGGTCAGACTCTTGATTGCATCATCTTCGTACAACATTCCTCCTGATTCAGACGTGTAGTATGCGTATGTGTTTCAAACAAGCACGACAATGGTAACGAGCTCACTATGCAAATATAACAAACACTCCTTCAAGCAAATTGAAATAGAAGTGCCTTCCCCTGAACCTGCAAGGCCGCTACGGTGCTCTTTCTGCACCTTTCCCACGAATCGGGGCAACTGCAGAACGCCCGCTTTCCCGCACTGATCACAGACGCCTTTCATCAATGCAGTGCTCATTGTCTCCCCACTGGCTCCGCTGAACGTTTGATTGGGTAAGCGTTTGATAATTCAAAGTGTGATCTGCAGCAATGCGATGACAAATGAATTGTCGAGTTTACGCTAGAAACCAGTCTTTTGGCTTTACATGATTCAACTCGGCCCAGACCAGACGCACCAATCCCATTTTTACATTTCATGTTCGTTGGGAATGAAGTTGCACCTTCTGCCAGGGCAAGATGAAGAACGGTGTTGCCCTGAAATGTTTCCGCGCGGTCATAGCAGACGTACCATTCTTGCGCAACCCTAAGTTATCAAATTTTCTCGGAGGTCTGTAATGGTTTTCTCATGGAGGTTGGATATCGATATCGGATAGTTGCGAGGCTTCTTTTCAAATTTCGTATGTACGCTTGCAAATTTGCAAGTGTTCTAACTCTGCTATCGAATTGATGGGCCTTTTCGAAGTCAGTCATGGTCAGCAAACGAATGAGCAGACTACACATTCGTGGTTGAACCGCACGCTCCGAATACAGTAATTGTGATGACATTTCATCGTGCTCACTGTGGACGTGACATTCAGGACTTTGCTCATGTGAGCAGTGAGCACAACGTGCATGAACTATTTCTAGAGAGATTGGAATTCTGGCAGCCTTTGTCTATATGCGCAAAGGGGGACGTGCGACTCGCATCGCGTTTGACTGAGCTTACGGTGCGCTGAATACCAATATCCTGGCAATCTTCGCATCATCACGGGGAATTCGTACGCCCGACTATGGTGTAACTGGTTGATGCTATGTAGGTTACTGCAAGGAATATGACTTTAGCATGAATCATTGTGCCGTTGTCTTTAATCCAAGCTTTTTGTTCTTTCGTCGCACTATTGATGAGTCACAGAAACAGGCGCGAATACTTACGCCTCAATAGAACAGATTTAGCGCGAAGGATTGTAACGCCCACATTTTTGATCACATCACCTCTTCAAAATAAAACCGCTCAGCGCTCAACCACCGCAACGATCCCTGTGGAGGAGGGAAAATCATTGCTCTGGCCTTCAGGCACAGGGGTGAACACGAGTTTGGAAGAGTATCCCCGAATTAAACTTTGACAGAAACCAGAGATTTGCAAGCGAAATATATTAAAAGAAGCCAAATACTGTGGTAAAGGCCTAGGCCAATGATCATGAGATACAAGACGGCTCATCCGTTTGTGAACGAAAAGACAGGCATCCCAGTGGTGGCTTCCACGGTCATAGTATTGTTATCACTTACTTACAACTCGCGATACTTATGTTCTAGCATTCTCACTCGTCCGAGGTTCTTCAGTTCCCTGGGTCCTGACTTTGCATAAGTAATCACAAGTTACCACAATTTCTCGGACTTCGAAGTAAGGCATTGAGTTCAGAAGAGTAACTTATCCCCATCGACTGATTAGTCGTCTTGAGTAGTGCATCGATTCGAGGGCTTGAACTACTAGGGGTAGTATGAGATGACTTCAAATACATCGACAAACCGAGAAGTTTGCAAGAAAGTTTGGACCTTGCTCGATAATTGATAGTTGAACTTCATGATGAGAACGCTCACTGGGTATTCGCCATTCTTGATTGCCTCGGAAAAGCATGTTTGGGGTAACGTTAAGTAGGAATCCGACGGGATTCAGTAAGGTAGTCACATCTAAGTGACTTGAGCAGCTGACCGCTAGCAGTTTCTGTTCAGTAAATGCTCGGATCGTATTGGCCACATAGACCGAAAGAGTGACAGGTTGTTCACACCTAAGTACCTAAAGTTGCCACCATCTGGTTCAGGATCTGAACCTCGAACCGAACCACGGTTTGGTCCAGTGACAGTCGCAGGCCTCAGGTTCGGGTGGGTCCAGAGGTGGCCACTGCAGGTTCGTGGTTCAGAACTTCAGAGAATAATACATTTTGAGAACTTATGCGGAGTCCAGACCCCGGATGTCGATGATGGGCAGATGCTTTGTCTTCGAACTCCGACTCAAATTGCAGTGCCGTAGTACTAGCCCTACATCACCTCCACACCTACTAACATGTTACATTGCTATTGCAAGTCATCATTATCATTTCTCGCAAAAACACCTGCTGTATATTCCACTGATTGTTTCCAAGGTCTTATAACAGGCAAGCCAGCTACCAGCCATGTATCGCTCACTGTCTTTATTTCTCTCTTTATTTTCTACAGCAGCGCCCGCTATGTTTTCGTGCCAACTTGAAGTTCTAGCATTAGTCTCTTATTTTCAGAGCGTAAACCACTAATGTTGGTTCGGGCATTGTCCCGCAGACAATGCCACATGCATGTCAGAGGTGCACCCGGTGTAAGCTCAAGAGATCATTATAGTTGGTGAGTTCACGGAGAGCATCTTGTAGTTCCCGTCTGCCCACCGACCATAATCCAAAATTCAAATATCATCCAAGTGATAAACAAAGTTCCTGCTGCAGGTCGGCCCTCATAATGCCTTGTCAGAGGGGCGACATGGAACAGAACCATCGGCGTTACTTTATGGATGTTATTATATTGTGTAGCAGATTTTAAAGACGACCCGAAGCAAACCTTCTAATCGATCCAAAAGACTTTTATCAACTGCTATTACCTCGTATGATACATGTTACCAGGCACGGAGCTTACAGCTCGACACCGTCAGAAATGGTGGAGTGGGATACTCGAGTGGGTCAGCAGGAATCAAAATATTGTTATGGAGGGCTACACTGGGATGATTATGAGATATGTATCTAGCTACCTTGAGCCTCGAAGCTTGGGTCGAAAATAACAAGAATCTTGCTGTGTCTGTAATATGCAAAAACATTCGAGTGTGCAGCTAGCAAAGACGAAATTTCAAGCTTTCAAGAACGACGGAAAAAGAAAAGATTCCAACTGCTGGCATAACCAAGAGAGATGCTACTTGACCACCACCTTTTTCGAATAATACTCCACCACATACCTCTTCCCATCTGGCTGCAAAGCGTCCCAACTAAACATCTGGACGTGCTCCGATAACCACGCTGCATCTGCCTTCGTGATCACAGGCCCACGACCTCTGACATCCAGCCAGCCTATCGCCTTCGTGTTCATCATGAGCATATCTTCTTCATCAGACTCGGTCGCCAGCGGATTCAGGAAACCCCATTGCGGAGCACTCGCAGCACGTATCCGTGCTTGGATGAATCTCTTCAACGCCGGAGCAGTGAAGCGATCACAATTCAGCAATTGCAACTTCGTCATCCTGGGCGCGATATAACATTCTTCCTCGGAGGTGCTCTTGAAAGGCCTACTCATGACGTCAAAAAACCTATCATCAACGCCATCACAGTTGTCAAGGGTGAGACTGCTCCCATTCCAATGGTAGAGCATGTTGATGAAATTTTTGGGTACGTCCATGTTCTCGAACGTAAGGTAGTCGGTAAAGCCGATGCGACCAAGAGTGTTGACTTTACAGTCTGTGATTGTTGTGGACGAGAGACGAACTCCGATGAGGACTGCAAAAACAACCTTGAGAACATGGCTGTTATCCAGCTTCTCGAACGCGAGAGTTTGTAAACGGCTGAGTGAAAACGTAGACCCTGCTAAATTTTTTTGGTTTGTGTCAAAGTGAACATCACAGAGAGTGAGATCGTTGAGTGTAGGAAGCTAGCTGAGTGTTCGGAGTGTCTGCCACAAGGAGAGCCCCTCTACGTTTGCACCGGAAGGACGGTAACGTGAAATGTTAACGGATGTGATTTTTGACATCAAAGCGGTTTGGGCTGGTCTTTTCAGCAAGCCATCCTGGAGGCAGCGACCGCTGATGTCAAGTGTATCTAAGACTGGCGTAACGAGGGGTCCACGGGAAGGGTGTATTTGTGTGGAATCTCCATCGTCGATAGCGCTCTCCAGCTTAAGGCTCTGCAACAATTTGGCGGGTCCATCCAGGTTGGTGAACAAGAAAGGAAGTGTAGCACTGTGCAACACCGAGATGTGCAGACGACGGATGCGATTCAAGTGAGGCCGTAGCAACGCCCTGACGTTCTGGGCGCGCTGACACTCGACCTCATCAGGAGTGTTGTGATCAATGATGCTGCGCGTGACTGTGATATCAAGCGGAAGCGAACGTGACCACCGCAGGCATGCTCGGATGGCAGCAATATCGGTAGGATTTTTGTCCACCGTAACTGTCATCCGAGTCCAAAACTCGGGAACAGTCGCTGCAACATCACACCAACGAGAACAAACTGCAGCGATAGCAAAAGGAAACAGTGCAGGGGAGAGGGGCTCCTCGTGTGTCCAGTCTTCACACAAGTGCTCGGAGTGGAATGATTCCAGCTGTAGGGATCTGTTCCCCGCGTATACCAGGTGGAAGATCCTCAAAAGAATCTCAGTAGGGAGGTCAGTGGCTGGTGCGCGGGGTTTTGGGCCTGAATCCAAGAACAGATAACAACTACGCGCGATGATGGCAGTCGAAAAAGCAGACACGGCACTTTCCTGACTGATCGATCTGTCCTGTGTCCAGTATGAGGTTAGTATATCGCTGGAAAACAGTGGTGTGTGCTCACCATCACTTCAAAAGTTGCTCGAAAGTACGATCACAATAACTGGAATGGATTGATCGACTTGGAGGTACGGTCTTGCACTCATTTGTTTGTTTCGAAGTCCGCCGCTTCTCCGAGTAGGCCTTCAGCATATGCTATTATAGCTAGTCAAGTACTGCTTATGATAGTCAGTCTCCCGTAGCCATACTACTATTCGAGAAGGACGACAGCCATAATGCTATGACATTCAAGTTCAGACCGTCGGACCCATGTCAAACGTGGATGGCACTGCTAGAGGACGTAGTAAGTTGCACATTTGCTATGTAGTCACAGTGAGTCGTATTAGAACCATGCCTCGTCCTTGACGTTCCTCGGAGAATATCATGCTAACTGACGCAGGAATACGATTACTTTCCAGGAACGTGTACACGCTTCAGCTGGCCCAGGCAGTGATGCAGTGCATGAGACACCCTGAGTACTTGATGAATGTGCTCGTCGAGCAGAATCACGTTTAGAGTTTCATTTGAAGTGTTGATATGGTGATTCGATTGCTTGGATTTGGACGAATGGATGTTCTTATTACGTGCAATACATGCACGCTCCCAACAGATAAGTTTCAGTTAAGTATTACATAATACTTCAACTTCCTCTGTCACCAAGCGCACTACCAAATGACCACCACGACAATAATGATATCCAGCCATCTACAAGCTACGGATATACTGCAGCTGGTCTTTTTTTTAATGGCTCAAGAAACGGCTTGCTTCAGTAAGGCCACTCAATGGATATTACGTGCACTCATCAGAACACAGACACGAGGCTTTTGTAATTGGGGTGTTGACCACGGCATGATAACTGTCCCAAAGCTCAACTTATATACTAAATATCGACCAATTTCCAACTGTCCCTCACTAAAGCCCATCACATTCTCAGATTCCATACCACCCATCCATAATGTCACGGTCATTTGCTGTAGTGGGATCAAGTTTGCGGATCAGTGCAGACGAAACACAAGCGCTGAAGTCTCTGCCAGTGGCAACACAAGTTGGATCCCTTATCATACCAATTCGTTCCATGACTAATATGCATTCAAGATCACTGCAAAGAGGGCTCTACAGGGATCCACCGCAGATCTGGGAAGGCTGGTTGATTATATTTCGATGCTTCACACCTCCCGTTATTGTTGCTTGGCACCCATCTTCCACGCGACGCTTGATTCAATTCAAGTACCAAACTACATCAATCCCAAGACTATTCCTGCCATCATGCGTGCAAAGTGGTCTCTCATGGGATTGGTGAAAATCTCCACGGTTACTCCTTCAACTTCTGAGGGCGAGGACGATCCCGTGACAAAGTATATTGTGAGGAAGTGGGACGAAGTATACCCGTGGATGCGGTTCTTCGCTAGAAATTGCCTCCCTCCTCCTTATGATGTCTCAGTTACTCCTCCGCGCCCTGATCTTTGCAATGTGTTTGATGCTGCGAAATTGTGCATCACTCCGCTCTCATTAATCTGCACCCAATCGGAAGAAGGGCGTCATTTACTCCGTTCTTCTATTTCTGTGCAGCACTTTGTTGCGCAGTTATGGATATTGATTGGAAACCTTCAGGGAGATGTGCTCCCAGGCGATCCTGGAAATACAACGGACGGCCTTGTTTCCATGCTCCGGGCGTCCTTTGCGCTAACAAACCATGTTTGCGTATCTGAATCTGAAGATCCAGACAAAATCACTCTTCCATTATCGAGTTATATACAAGCTGCCGGAGGGGTGAAACCCGTTGTTTTCACCCTTCTCAGATACATCCGTCGGATTACCAGAGATGCTGCCGCTGTAGAAGAACCTCGATCATGGACGACAGGCGATCGGAGCATAAAACAACTTCATCTCTACACTGTTGGTCTCCATTATTCCTTCGAGTTCATCAAGGTTATCAGTCGCCAAGACGTTTCATGCCGCGCACAACTTATCCGCCAAGGTTCAATTCGCACGGTGGTGGACGCGATCGCTCAGATGTTGCCTAAGATCTTGGTGCAAGCAAACAGGGAATTAGATTTTCATCCCCAGCTGGGACTCGCGGGTAGGCAGAACGTTCTGTGGTCGGGGTACGCGTACATTGCATCTGCTATTCGCGATGCAGATGACGGGGTGACATGTGTGTGCCAGGCAATCGATGCTGGCCTCATTCAAACGTTGGAGAAGGGGGTTGTTTGCCCGCCTCACGCCAATCGTCGCGATCACCCAACCCGTGGCCGTTTGGGTGACATAGAGTTACTCTTTCTCCTCGCCACATTCTTCATGTATCACAGGGTCGTTGAATCAATTTTCCGACACTGGTTTCGCATGCAAAGTGCTCCTATGGAAAAACGAGAGATACGCGACAAAGGGTTGGGGGTTGCTCTCGAACTCGTCCTGACATCTACTATCGATGCTATGGACCATCGCAGTGTAGAACCTATAAACTTCCACGAATACAGGTGCAGTGGTCCAGGAGTACGCTAATCATTACTAGTTCCATCATGTGGGTGCTCATATGTGCGCCAGTGTCCAATGTGCACATCCAATTTTGTCAGCAAAAAACGTCGGTGCGCAGGCTGCTTGGTATCGATCTATTGCTCGGAGAAATGCCAAAGGACCGCGTGGCACAATGGACACAAGAAGTGGTGTCAAGTTCTAAGGTGCACCGTTGGTGAGTCCCTTCAGTCTTCATCTCATAATTCTCGTTCGAATCGCCAACAGGGCCGTGGGGCTCACGCGATATCCGTCAGAGTCTTCAAGTCATTGCAGGCTTCGAAACCAGTGAAATCACGGGAATGGCCAAAGATGTAGAATCGCGCGTTCGTGAAGCACAGCAGCAGTTCCCTGCATTTAGAGATAAACTTGTGCTCATGCTAGACTTGAGTGTATATCCGCCGGAGGTCCACGTGCTCCCCGTGCACAAGCTTGAGCAGTTTCCTGGGCATGACCCCATATGGCCAGAGATCGCTGACGAGATTCGCCAACGAAGCGACTCGCCACCGAAAGGATATATGTTTTCGGTCGTCAAGGTCCACCTGGGGAAGTCGAAGTTCACACTGTTCAGCCCAAGTACGGCGTTGCGTATGGCATTTGTGGACCAGTATTTTTCGGATGATGAGGTATCTGTTGATGAAGATGAAATTAATGATTCAAAGCGTTAGGCGACTAGGAGTTGGATTATGATTCAGAGTCATTGGATGACGAATGCGTGCTACGATATTTAACGGTCCTTTGTGCTATATGTCTAGTAGCTTTTGTTGACTGTGACTTTGCTTTACTTTGTACAGGAAATATACCATACTAATCTTGATTATGTAAACGGAGAAGTGATAGAATCGATCGATTGGAATTCAGACATTGTATCCAGGCGACGTCCATGGTTCCTAATCTACACGACAGAAAAACAAGTGCAGAGGTAAGATTAACTAGGACTGAATTCTAGTCCGTCCTTCCACAAACTTCAGGATGTCTTCGTCAGAGGGCCGACGCTCCATATCTCCTGACCAACAGGTCTGCATGAAATTCCAATCGCTGTCAATGACAACAGATGCGGGTGGCTTTCTGGGTTTTATTCCGCGTGATATATTGTTCATTACGGCGAACTGGTTGTGGATGTAATGGTATGGGACCTTGCCCTCCAATACCTGCAGAAATATGAGCTGATTCAATATTGATGATCCATGTTACGTGCCTGTAGCATGATCCCTCCGAAAGAGTATACATCACTTTTCGGAGAAAATACCGGCGCTGACGCATTGCCCTCATCATCGACCGCCAAGTATTCTGGTGGCATGTAGTGTGCGGTGCCTCCGCAACAGGTTGGCTTTAATGCTACTTGACTTATTCTCTCGGGAACGAGAGCAGAAAGACCAAAATCAGTGAGGCTTGCTTTTCCATCTTTATCAACGAGAACGTTGTTCTAAACAAGCTTCAGTTGGGCTTTCACATGACTCATAAATGTGTACGTACGCCGCTCAAGTCACCATGGGTAATTGACCGCGAATGCACTGCAATCTGCGTTAGTCGACTCTTGGATCAACGACAAAACATCGAACATACGATACTGAAGCCCTTGAGCTATGTCCTTAAGCTAAAGAGACATCAGCATGCGGACTATGGTAGAATGAGAAATTGACCGAACCAGTGCAAACTTTTTGTTGTGAGAAAGCATTTCGTGCTCACGTTCGAGGTAACTGCTCAGCGCACCATTTTCTAACCATGGTGAGAGAAGCGCTGGGAGGGAGCCAAAGCCATCTGCAACTCCCCAGAGAGGAACGATATTCTCGTGCTTGAGTTTCAACCATACCTTAATCTCTCTGGACAACCGCTAAAGGACTAAAGTCAGTTGAATGAAGGTGGAAATCATGGCCACTGACATTGATGATTATCAACGTGTCTGTATTGCCTCTCAAAATTATTTCCTTGACTGCGACCTAGATTGCTATGAGAAGGCAGATTGAAATGACGGACAAGACACCTACGTCAACACAATTTGACCTGGAAGAAGACTGGTAGCGGAAAACCACTGGTTGAACGGCATCGATGCCTCTTAGAGAGAGCCTGCACCTATGAACATTTGCAAATCCTCCAGCGTTCTGGTGAACATTATCGAGTCGTTTGACCGAGGTCGTCAGATCAGCAGCACTGAAGATGATGAGCCTAACAGCGACGTGAAAGAAGGGTTAGTAACTCACCCGAAACTTTGGACTAAAACTAAGTAGAGAACCTTCTCAATTGAAGGACGGGATTTCACCGCCGACAAACATTGTTGCACCAAGTTCAGGTGCGCTTCATCAATCTTTGGATCAAAGGTCCTTTGAGGGCTGCGTAAGAGAAACACAGCAAGGATCATACCTCAGCAGTACGATGAAAAGGTGATGTACCCTTTTCTTTTTCTGCAAGTACTTGGTTCTCTTCCCAAATCCACCAGTACGGCACCTTTCCCGACAATACCTAGGGAATAGCGGTGTAAAATGCAAAAGTAGATGAGCCGTATAACATACCAGAATTGCGACGCAACCATATGAGTACACATCTCCTTCTTTCGTCGGCTTTGGTGCTCTTGTCCCGCCACCCGTGAAAATAGACTCGAGTGCAGTGTACCTTGCATCTCCCGGGAGCTGCTCGTTGAACATGTCACTATCTGCTTCAGCCAGTATTACAGAGTGACTGAAGTCTGTGATGCGCACACGGCCTGAACCGTCAATGAAAACGTTATCCTAGGGATGCGGTGAGAATCTTTGCGTAACACATGTAATGGAAGCATACACCCGTTAAATTGCCATGTGCAACGTCCTGCTTGTGTACTAAAGTCGCGCGTGAGTTCCATGCGCGCGCAGCTATGAGGGACACTGACAATATTCGATACCATGCGCCACCTCTAGTAGCTGCCCATTCGAGGTCAGAGCCGAAGAATTTAAGTATGCCACGGACTTTGAAATGACTTACAATATCCAGCTTCTGATGTGCAGATAAAACGGAGTGCTCTTGTTTCAGGTAGTCGCGTAACGAACCGCCTGCCATCCATGGGTATACAAAGGATGGGCCCGGGATGATTCCAAAACCTGCAGTTATTCCATAGAGGGCAAGGATGGCCTTGTGCCTCAACCCTTCCCTGACATACACCTCACGACAAATCCTCTGCCGAGCAATACATGATTTAATGGTGATTCATCTATACAGCGATGCTAAACTGTGTGTTTACTCACATTAGATATTTTGTTCATGTCATTGTGACCGTTAATATTATCCCTCAAAGTCTTGACTGCAACCTGTCGATTGATGCGTTGCATATAGATCCGTAGATCCATAAAAATACACTAACCTCAGTCTCCCTCGACTCATGCACCCACTTGCATTTCAAAGCCGCACCAAGTACGTCCAAACCATTGGGATAGTCGCATTTCGTGAGAACTCCTTGCGATATTTGTGTCACTGTGACTGGAAGTTGCGACAGCATCGTCTTTATAGTCTTCACAATGTTTGTCTGTGACCACAAGAACTCCATAATTTGGCCAATCAACGGACGGTCTTCTCTGTTCCTTGAGCAGCATAGTTGCGCAATCTGCTGTATCTCGTCGCCGATACCAGCCGATTGGTAGCCTCGGAACGGGTTGCGCCCCTTTTGCATTGCTCCCATAACCTGTATAATACTCGAGATCCAGGTATAAGGTTGTCTGCCGGAAAACACCTGCATGGTATCAGTAACATGGCATTTGAATGAGACCACACAACGCACCTGCATCATAATACAACCATACGAGTAAACATCCCAGGCCTTGGTTGGTTTCTCATCTTTAGCCTCATCGTCATCGTCATCTTCATCCCCATCTCGAAGTGCCTCCGGCGGCATCCACCGGACATTGCCCGCGTGACACGAGTTAAATGTAGCGTTGCCTGATTCTGCGAGGATCATCGAGAGACCGAAATCTCCGAGACAAAGCCTCCCATCACTACCGACTAGGACGTTGTTCTAAAATGTGGAACCGTCATTTATGCGTAGAATACGGCGAATGAAACCTACAGCAGTAAGGTCACCATGGACAATACCCTTGTTATGCACTACAGGAGATCAGTCAACAAAAGTGCAGAGCTGAGTGCTACCCACAATACTCGAGACCAGCTGCCACTTCCCTTACCTGCAGTGTCGAGTCAGGGTTGAACGCGTCTTCGCATATATAAAATGCATACCATACTTAACTTCCTTTCCCACGAGAGACCAACAAATTCGCGTTTCAAATAGTCATCGAGTGATCCATTTTCCATCCATGGAGTGACCAACGCGGGAAGTAACCCAAATTCTTCGGCAAAGGTAATACCCTCCAGAGGGAGAATGTTGTCATGCAATAATGGAATCCAAACGTAGGCTTCGCGACGAATTTTCTGGTAAGTAAATCCATCAGCGAGTGCAAGGGTGAACTACTTCATGCCTTCACCTTGCCTATTGCTTTTAATATTTTTACATCTGCAAATTGAGGGAGACACGGACTAATCAGAACAAACCCTTTGGATAGAACCCCACTGTGCATACCTGTTACCGACAAGACCCTGATGGATTTGACTGCGACCTTGATTGTGATAAATGACCGTAACACTGGAGCTGTAACATCCCCTGTTTGTAAACTTACCGGACGTTGGGCCCCAGATTGCGTAGACATGAGACATTTCCAGATATCTCCAAGGCCTCCTGTACAAGCAGGAAAGTTACCATCTCTTGAAAGATTTGTCGCCACATACTTCAGTCATAGCCCTATGTAGAAGTGGTGCCCTGGATGTGCCAAATGGCCCTAGAATGGGTACCAGCCTGCACCGGCCTATACATGCACATTGGTGCCAGCCAAGGGTGTTAAGGTGGTACTGGCCAACCACTGAAGTGGGGCTGCCTATACGTGAAGGCTGACCACAGGTGTAGGGGTGGTACTGGCCGACCACTACATATACATGTACATTGGTGCTGACCACAGGTGTGGGAGTGGTACTGGCTGACCACTGCCTACACATGTATATTGGTGCTGGCCAGAGGTGTGGGAGTAGTACTGGCCGACCACTGCCTACACATGTATATTGGTGCTGGCCAGAGGTGTGGGACTGGTACTGGCCGACCATTCAAGTGAGGCTCCCTATACACACACATCAGTATCAGCCAACACCTTAGGACATGGAAAATAGAGTTGGCCTGACTAAGTCCAAGTCATGTAGAGGCAGGCAGTTCAACAACTTAAGGCATCAGAAAAACTTAACATTGTTGAAGAACCTTATGGTACTTGGCCAAGTCTTTCCAAGACTTGCACTAACACACTCAAGTCCAGCAAGATATTTGACTTATACCAGTTTGTCAGTATCAGTAGAAAGGCTAAGTATACAAATATATTTAAGTTTTTCATGTCCTATGTGGTCTGGAGCATCATGGTCAAACACAAGTATCTAAAACAATTCAGGAATGATAAGGAAAGTGTAGGTTTCCTGATGGCATTGATAATAGAGTCGGCCGGATCAGGTCCAGGCTGTGTATGGCCTGGCCGGCCGACACCTCAGATATTGATAATAGAGTCGGCCGGATCAAGTCCAGGCTGTGTATGGCCTGGCCGGCCGACACCTCAGGCAGTGATAATAGAGTCGGCCGGATCAGGTCCAGGCTGTGTACAGGAAGGCAGGCCGACATCTCAGACGTGGACAATAGAGTCGGCCGGATCAGAACTAGGTCATGTATGGCCTGGCCGGCCGACACCTCAGACAGTGATAATAGAGTCGGCTGTATCAGGTCCAAGCTGTGTACAGGAAGGCAGGCCGACACCTCAGACGTGGACAAGAGAGTCGGCCGGATCAGAACTAGGTCATGTATGGCCTGGCCGGCCGACACCTCAGACAGTGATAATAGAGTCGGCCAGATCAGGTCCAGGCTGTGTACAGGAAGGCCGGCCGACCCCTTAGACATTGACAATAGAGTCGGCCGGATCATGACCAGGTCGTGTATGGCCAGGCCGGCTGACACCTCAGACAGTGATAATAGAGTCGGCCGGATCACGTCCAGGCTTTATACAGGAAGGCAGGCTAATACCTTAGGTATATATTGAACATAGACTTCTGCATATCTAATTGATGAGATTTTTGATAGACACAAACCTAGTATTATCAAGAAAGATGTTGGTTTTAGTACTATCCCTTTAGAGCTAGTTCATTCAAATTGCAATATCTGCAAGTATAAATGGGCCAGCTCTACAGTATGATGTAGGCAGGGTTCCTGACCATCATAACAATCATATTTTGGCTAGATAAGTCTTTGATATTATAATAGCCAAGACTGTTAAGTGACTACAATCAACTTGTCTTTGAATGAATTTTCAGCATCCAATGCAAATCTTCCCCACAAGAGCACCTGTCGATGTGCATAAGCTTGATGACCAGGCTTTGTAGCTTGTTGGTATCTTTGGTCCCATTCTCCCATCCTGTATTTAAACCAACTCACTGTCCAACCCATTTCGTGTTGGACCAATCTCAACTCTTCCTCCCACCTTTGCCATCTAGCCTTAGCTTTCAACCAATTTACCCTGTAGACTAATACAGGTCACTTGCAGAACATAGACATATTAGATATGACTTACATTCATCCATCCACACATCTTCCTTCAAATCATGACCGTTGTTGACTCTCCAAAACCAAGCCAGTCTGTCTGATCCCTGCCCATATCTGTTCTCTTCAGTCACTTCCTTGTCAACACTGAGCTGGTGTAGCTGAATGTCTTGATAGATCGTCGTCAGAGTATCTTCATCAGCCCCTAGTCTCTGAATTGAACTCCTAGCCCTTTGATACCTTCGGACACACTTCTCTATCTTGATATGGCATTGAAGAGCCTCCTGCTTTGACCTGGTTCCTGTCCATGTGGAATCTGCACTTCGGAAATGCTGACGGTAAATTATTGCTTTATGACCGAGAGCTTGTCGCAACTTTTCCAAGCAATCATTTGCTTGACCCTTTCGTAACTCCAGTTCTTCAGCTTGCAGAGTGTGCAAGCCCAGGGCTAAAGCCTCATTTCGAGACACTGAAGATGGCATCCAAATGGCCATGACTTCTGCAGGAACTGCCTCATCCATCTCTTCCAACACATCTTCAATATCTGCAGCCTCCCATACTTCCTCCACCGCATCTGAGGTGCAAAATCTAATGTCATCCACATGCTCAGTACCTGCATGGACTTCAATGCCCTCTGTCATAGCATCAGCAATTTCATGAAATTTAGAAATCCGAGCAGCCAGTTTTTGTCGTTTCTCTTGAAGTGCAGCCCTTTGAACAGCAGAAGCATCTTTGGGAAGCTGCCGAATAGCTACCCTCAGTGCATCCCTAGATATGAATTAGAAATACATTATCACCATCAATATATGATGAAACAACATACTGCGAATCCTCTATATTGATGCCATCAATGAGCCAAGAAATTGATCCCAACTTTCCTGTATCAGCACATTCTGATTCTGTTAATTTTAGCCGCATTTCTGCCATTGTTGGTGCTTCCAATCATCCAATCAGAATGTACGACACATGGACCTGAATAGAAGCTTCGAAGTGCTCACCTTTATCTATTTTTAGCTGGTAGATGTCAAGATGTTCTCCACGCTCATCCTTTGCCTTCTCCTCATCTTTTTCCCATGCCCTCACTTTGATGACATCCAAAGATCCGGTAAGCTCTTCAAACGGCAGCCTAGTGTCTTCAATGCCCTTGTTGGCCCGTTTGTACTTTCTCAAGAGCGTCTTAACTGCATCACTGTGAAACTGTGATGTCATTCATTCCAAATATAGGCACTTACCTATTCTGACAAGTTTTCTCCAATTTGAGTTACGCATGTGATCATCAAGAATTTCTTGACGGTGAGCTTGGCTCATAGAACGTGCTGTGGGAGATATCTTGTTAAAGGGAGCCCAAAGTGTCTCCAGAATTTCCCCATCAACTTGTCCAGCTCCTTGAATGAAGTTTAAGCTGTATCTAGCAAAACAGGCAAGTTTATGAGCGCTCAAGTGAAATTTCCCCACCGCAGCCACAATCTTGGTGTTGTCTGGGAGTGCCAAGCCAGGGCAGTTGGCAACACGTTGACCAAAGTTAAGGTTCCACTGACACCCCACATCATAGATGATTAGGGAGTTGTCAATGTTGCCAGCAGCGTGCTTTATGGCATTACAAATGGAATAATCTATATTCATGTGGCTGGAAGTGATTTTGTCAGCATGTCAAGCACAATGCTTGTCTTAGCCTAGATTGAGTAAATGAAAGAAAACTTGCCGTTCACCCTTCTGAAAGTCCACTATGCAGTGAGGAACAAAACAACCATGCCGAGCACAAGCAGTGGCACCAACCCCTGTAGCCCTGAGGTTGCTTCTGTTTGTGTTTGCTGCATTGACTGCCCGATGGTTGCTACACAAGGATCGCTTTCCACAGGTTTAGCCACCACTGACAATACAACACAATTTGAGTCACCTCTTTACTCTCTATAGCCAAAGTCAAGTGTGCTTGGTATTCTCTGTCTGTTACCATATAACCTAAACCATCTGATAGGAAGACGTCAAGCTCAGGCTGTCGCATGTTCATATGCTGAGCAGTAAAATTTCCATCTACCCCCCAATCTTTTCATAACAAGCCACCTGCAATCAAAAGTCAGCATCCGCATATAAGTCAGCTAGTTATATGAGTGATAGCTGAGTCCTGGCCGGTACCTCTGGTACACAGCTCAGAGCCAGTGCCAGCCGACCATTTGTGTAGACTGGCCGGTACCCTCTGGTACACAGCTCAGAGTCGGTGCCGGCCGACTATTTGTGTATACTGGCCAGGACACATATTATCGGCCAGGACCACTGCTATGCTATGCACTGCTGGTACTGGCCGGAGTCTAGCAGGCAGGGATTTTGGAATTGACTTGCCTTTCATACTGTTGCTCCCAAACAAGAGGCATATTGATTCCGGGCTGTGGACATGAAGGGCAAAATAGGGCAAGATCTCCTGCACTAGGGGCGCTTCCTTGTCATGGCCAAATCCAAACCATTTACGGTTCTTCAAGTCCCGCCAGAGTCGAGATACTCTCATGAGTTCTCGATAGCGATCCTACAGATGGGGTTTTGCATTCAGTATGAGCTAGAATTATGGTATTATCAGTTCCACTCACTGGGACAGTGTCCGGGAAAGCATTATTTGTCAGCCGTCTGATTTTCTCAAAGAAGCTCATTGCTGAAGTCTTGCATTCCAAGGCATCAATGAGAAAATGATCCAGTACCTCGAAGGTGAAAGCAGTCCTAGGGCGTGTGGTACTGGCAGGAAATAGTCCTGCTTGGAGCAGCTGCAGGTGATGTTCATGATGTGATCCTGGACATTGACACCATGACACATTGTGTGTGAACACCCCAGAAGAATGTACAATAATCACAG